TTTTTTTTGGCAGTTAAACAGTTTTTTGTGAAAATTTAATTTTTCACATATTGGCATTTTCAAGGTGTGACTTTAAAGTTCCATGATCTTGAAGACTTTTGCTTGTCACATTTTCTGAATGTCCATGTTACTAATATTTTATTAATAACATTTGATTGTCATTATGCTGTTAAACATTATGTAATGTTGCATCAAAATTTGAAGAAACTCCTATTTTGGGCACTGCTCCTATGATGACCATTTAAGGGAAATCATGTCACTTACTGTTATCAAACTTACAGGAAAGAAACATGGGTCTAACATACAGCTTCAATAGGCAACGCAGTCTGTTTGGTAAATTTTTGTGGCAATTTAACAGTTTTTTGTGAAAATTTAATTTTTCACTTATTTGCATCTTTATTTTCTGTTCTTTGTCTGTACATTTGACAGCTTTGCTGCCTTGTTTTCTCTTTGGCTATTATATGGATATATAAGAATAATGTTATAAAAATACAGTTACATGATTTGTCTTGGTACTATTATTTTTTTCATTATTAAAATATGAGTATATTCTTTATGAATATACATATTTTGACATTGTGTTATAGACTTGCATTTATCGTTTTTGTATTCTTAAAACCAATGGGTAGAAATAAAATCATCACTTTCTGGTTGTTGCGTTGTATTTCAATCCGATGCGTTCACGATGTTTTCTTCATGCAACAGATAATGATTTTTGGGTCATCTTTATGGAAATTTGGTCTTAAATTTGGTCCTAAATTCATGATCTGAATATTTTAAACTATTGAAATCTCGTCTTCCTACTCTGTAAGTGTTAAAGATGATAAAAGAAATTTGTGCAAGGAATATTTAAAGATTGTATAAGAATGTGCTTTACGGCGTTGGGAGTGAATTTCAAGGCTCAAGCCCTATAACATTTCATACTTAAAATTGATCTTACTGCTAGAGAGAGCAATGGGCTGAACAAGATTGGTACTTTGTGAATAACTTTCTTCATTTTGCTTAAATATCGGCCTCATTGGCCACGGCGTTAACCTACTCATCCGAAAAAAGTTAAGGCTAGAAATCACTAAAGAAAATTGGTTTCATGCCGTTCCCTGGAACTAGGAAAGCCATCTTGAGCAAATATCCAGATTAACGAAAAACCGTGCTTCGTACCTTGCAATGTTAAGTCTATAAATTGCATTCCCAAACGTACTGAAAACTATAGTGACCGCGGTAGTCAGGCCAGCCGGACTAGGTTCCTATTTTCCCGTCGTAGCAGCTGAATCGATCTTACTCCACAGGGCTTCTCGATAAAGTGCTTTCTGTGTAATCAGTTTAATTGGCACCCCCCCCCCTTGAGTAACTAGGGGATAATGACTATGGTTGATTACCCCCAACAGCTTAAGTAGGCGTGGCAGACATTTAAGCCGCTTACGCTGAAGGCAATTTAGTGAGAATCCCCGCAGAGCTAGATCGGTCCAGCTAGTATGATGGGCTTATGGGAACGCTCCCTTCTTCTATTTTGGGGTCACATGTTTGAAATAGTCCAATAAATCCAACATATCCAAGTAGTGGATGCCAACGCTTGAATTTAACTACAATATTCATATAGAATGCAGACGACTGGAAAGGGTGAGTTTTAGCACAGCTTCAGTGATGGATGCCTATGTTATTTAGGGTTTCTATATTTATCGCAAAAAAAAATTTACAGCCACTGTCCACGTGAACAAGGGTCAGCAGAATACTTGAATATGACACTCACATTTCATGTAGGTTACCTTTTGACCTGCAAGTTTTATTTTACACGAAGAAGAAATGTTCCACTGAACTGTCCACTTTTGCATATATATATATATATATATATATATATATATATATATATATATATTTAAAGACTTGCTCGTTGAAATAAGTGCGAAGCAACTACATGTTAAGATACTTCATGGTATATTACCACTTCACGGGATAAATATCCTGATTTTAATGACAAGTCTACTTCATAGGATAAACTGCGACTTCATCTCCACATAAGATATTGCCTGCGACTTCATGGGATATAATGGTGAAGGAGTTCCTGTTGCAGGCCCTGTTTTGAAAGATAATGTTTTATGACAAAATGTGTTTTTCTGCGGTAAATATTATCCAACATAGGTAAACTGTACGTTTTAATTATATTCACAAACATGTTTGATTGAAAGGATTTCTTTTTAAACAAAAGTACCACTGATATAGGGTTAGGGAGGGCTATTTTAAAACACTCGGGCATATGCAGGCGCGGCTCCAGGATTTTTGAACGAGGGGGCCCCAGAGGCGTTAAAAAAAGGGGGGGGGGGGCACAGACGGCAGAGTATCGATGGGCTATTAGATTATAAGATAATTAAAATAAGCAAGTATTAGGGTCACAAAAGAAGCAGGGCAGGTACAAAACTGTATTCTCCAAATACTTTGATCATGTCGTGTCGCACTCTTAAAAGATTCATTACTATTGCATCTAAAATGCAAGAAGGGATTATATTTATTACTATTATATGTTTGGATACAAGTGCTCCATGAAGTGGTTAATATCGCGAAGTCCTTATTTTTTTTAACCAAAGAAATCGGCTCCTATCATGAAGTAGTAATGCTTATCCCATGAAGTGGAAATATACTATGAATTATATTAAAGATGCATACAAAGTCAATTTTTATCACAAAAACCAACCAAATGCCAGCATATAGTTTCAAGTAGCATAACTAAGAGAATTACCAAAAGGCATAGTTTAATTTTACCCGAAAATGATGTTTGAACGGATTTTTCTGCTGGCATTCTAAGCTGTATGTCAATGGGGCAGGAAAGTAGGTCATGAAAGTACCGGTATGTTAAATTTACAACCAAAAATTTAAAGAAAGGAGCAGTCTAAAGGTCTTTTATGGCTGATCTAGTGATCTATTCAGTTTATCGCTTGGCATGTCGAATTTATTTGAGTCATATAAGCATCTAGTAGAAGTGGTTTACATGTGTTCCTGGGAATCCACGCTCTACAGATGCTCGGTTCGTATGTACCTTTAACATACGCCTCTTATATTATTTTGGACAGTAGGCCTATCCTTTACATATGTAGCTGTAGTCATGCAAAGCATGAGACCCAAATATAAAATATGCTATTTGTTACATGACCTATTTATCGGCTTCTAGTTTTCTGTACAGGCCCATATCTCTCACACGGAGGAGCTTTGTATAGGATGCAGTTTAGTTCAGTGATCCTAAAAGAAAAGTACTTTATGGTTTCACCTGGCCATATTTTCCGTTGATTCTTTAAATGTAGGCTCCATGTTAATTTACTTCAGCATAACATAATATAATAACAGGGGCGGATCCAGGATTTTTTTAAGGGGAGTGCGCGGATTCGAAATTGCCCCCCCCCCCCTTCGCGGCGGGGGGTCCGGGGACGGAAAAAATGGTATTTTAGAGGGTGAATGATTTTAGAGGGTGAATGATGCCCCGTGATGGTACGGTTTACAACTATGATTCAGCTAGGAAAAATTCTAATTTCAAGAGGGGACCATTGGTTTGATTTTTTTCAGAAATCGAAGGGGGGTCAGGACCCCACAGACACCCCCTAAATCCGCCACTGTTTACGGTGCCACTTTACCGGGTTCTTACAGATAATTCGTCCGGGGGTTGGGGGGGGGGGTGCTACTACCTTTCACTGGCCCTAAGGCACCCAAAAGTCAGCCATTAAGGTGATAATCTTACGTAATTGGCAAACATTTCTAGTTAGATGATTTCAAATGCTGTCGTTTTCATTTTGTTTTACACTGAGTTTACGTACGTTTAACTTCGCTATAGAGCACGCTGAGAGCCAAAGCGGTTCACAAATTGACGTTTTCAGTTGTGAGTAGTCTTTGCCATTTCAAACGTCTACCGTGGAGTTGCCCCGGGTACTGCATGAATATATGTATATTGATATGCAAGGCCAAAGGAGTGGGGGGGGGTATAAAAAACAAAATATATGATGAGTTAGAGCAATAACGGCAATGTGACTTTTGAAAAGAAAAACTTTTCTTGCTGATAGTCCCAACGAGCAGATAGAATTTTTTTTTAAAGGCTGTACGACATGCATGGCGCCTTGTCGGGTAAGGTATTGACTCAATTCAATTTTGATCTGTTGCGTAGTTGGTAAAGGATAGAGATCAATGACCATCCCTGCCTAAGTATCGTTTTAAAGACTTTAAAGCAGAGAAAAGAAATATAATTGACGACACAGACTTTATGATAATGTCGAGCAATATTTTGTTGTCAAAATCGATTACAAATTCTAAACTATACCGGATTTTTTTTTTTTTTTTTTTTTTTCAAAAAGATAATGTGCTCGGACACACGAATGCCTGCATTCGTTTTCGGGGACAGCTCGTCGTTGTGATGAATTGACAATTGACGTGCGTCATGTGGGATTTGAACTCGTGACTTGCCTTCACCCTGGTTTGCTGATGGCTCGGTGTTTTTCTACAACCAAACACGCTACCGACTACACCGTGACTGAACCGCCCACCCTCCAGCCCTACGAGTTTCCTCTTATAGTAATCAAACGCAAATTTTAAAAAATATTTCTAGCAAGAAAAGGCATGTTGAAAATATCAGGATTCGAACCTGCGTCGAGCAGCGTTTAGTTGTGTAGAAGACGGCGGAGTTACCACGGAGCCATTCAAGCTTCGTTGGTACGACATGGATCAAATGGAAACTTATTACTTTCTCACAGAGAGGGCCAGTTGGGCTGTACATGTACATCTATTAATCTGCCATAACAATCAATAGGCCGTGAGCTGTACATATGTATTTCATCCCGGACATCGCGAGTCTTCGAACAGGGAATTATCATCAACGTTGTTATTAAAGTTCATCATTTACACGAGCACTTATTTGAGAAGTCGACACGGAGCGCTCCTAGATGGATTGCCTTCCTTACTATGACTATTAGTGTGATATTTTCAGAAACCAAAAATCCGCCACTGGTATATACATCAGCAGAAAACATATAAATTACAATTTCAGAAAACGTATATATTACAATTGCCTGACACTTCCTATAAAAGAACAGTTAAGTTACATTTTATTCAAAATGTGTGTATATATAGGCCTTTTGCAAAAGTAAATTTGAATAAATAAATAAGAGGAAGAAAAGGAGATATGTCATTGTATCTACCCAGGGAAAAATTGCATCCTTCCCGCATACACCCATGCACGTTATGAGGGATGACGTACATGGTCATCATGAATGCCGAGTAACTTCGCTATGCCATTGAATAATAAGAGAGTTCATATGATTTTTCATGTGACTGTGTTATGTTCGTCAAGGTCTAAAACACACTTTCATTAAGATAATACTTTTTCACAGATTACAAACCTCTTTTTGGAAAGGTTGCCGTGGTAACAGGAGCATCTTGTGGCATTGGTGCTGCCATCTCTCGACAACTGGCTGCTGCTGGTGCCAAGGTTGCCATGGCAGCAAGGCGGGAGAACTTCTTAAAAGAAATCCAGGATGAAATTTCAAAGGAAGAGGGGGTAGCTCTAGCAGTGAGATGTGATGTCAAAAACAGAGCTGAGGTAAACTTAATGATTTTATATTGTGAATAACAATGTATTGTATCTTTTCATAGTACAGGGTAAGGGAGTTAATTATCATTGTTTTTAAACAGTAATTGTCTGTTAGTTTTTTAAATAGGTTTCAGGTAAAGTCGGCCATAGAAAGTTAAATAAAGCCGCTTTTCCAACATTGCTTTTTGCGATGTTCAAAGTAAGGTACTATGTACATGTACAGTAGCAACGTGCGTTTATCTGAACACTGATTACAACATACATGTAGCATGTGCAATATCTGGGATACCTTTAAAATGAAATCGCCAAGATTATATTATTAAGTGATTCAAGTAATGATAGTGATATATGAATCAAGAGTACAACACTTTTATTTAAATATTATAATATCTCTGCATAGGTGAAGGAGCTTATTCAGTACACGGAAAGAACCCTGGGTCCCGTATATATATTGGTGAACAACGCTGGTTACTGGGCGTTCAGGTGTATGAAGAATCTTCACGAGGAGGAGTGGGATGAACAGGTGGACGTGAATATCAAGGTAAGGCCAGAGTGGGTTTTAAAGTACACATGAAGTCATTATTCAAGTTGTTTTGTACCATTTCAATTAAACCAATTAGTTCTAAGCGATTTATTGTTTATTTACAGCGCATTCAGAACAAGTTGATCCGTGGACTAACAGATCTGCAGGCCAAATATGGCTGACTCCCTGATGAACACAATCCATTAAACGGATTAAATCTCGGTTTAATTGCTAGGCCCGCAGGTTTAATTGCTAGGCCCCTGCAGCGATGGCGCGTGTGGAGGCGGGGAGGCTATCGGGATATTAAACGGCTTGCTTTTAAGTGGGTCGGCCATATTTAGTCCGAGGATCAACTGTTCTGAATGCACTCTTAGATTGCCATCCGTCTTCCAGGCTTCTCAGAAAGATACATTAACATGGGCTTTCTCGTTTTGAAAGTCTGAATTTGGAAAGATAATTATCTATTGCTTTGAAGATATATAGATCTATTTAGAACAAAACAACGTTGGGTCATTTTCAAATGTGTATCAACACCTTTTAGATAAACATTTAAGAATCTGTTAAGGATCTTCTCATACAGGGGGTGTTGAACTGCATTAGAGCTGTGATCACAGGGATGTGTGAAAGGAAAAGTGGTCATATCGTCAACATGTCGTCAGACTGTGTAAAGCAGGTAGGCCTAATCCTGTCAGCACTCTCTGTAAAATATGAAAGCGTAAAACGTCCGAATTTGAACCTACCACTCGGCCTTCCGATTCAGACAAAAAATTCCATGATTTATTTATCGAGATTGTAATCATATATTTTTGACAAAATTGTGTCGGATCAAATCAGTTCGCACCTTCTTCATTCTACAAATCTGCGTCCATTCTTTACCTCAGAGTGTATTAAAATTTCCCGATTTTGTAAATTTAACAGTAAGCTTTCAAGAGTACTTGTTATTCAATGCAGTTCAGGTAAAACGTTGGTTTCTTGGAACCTTTGTAAAGAATCATTAAAATGTCTCCCCCCACCCCCGTCTTGACAGTTTTATTAAACAAATGTCTTTGCTTTTTTCTAAACAATTAATACAGTGTCGTATACAGGAAGTTGAATCGTTTTTTTTTTAAACAGTTTAGGTGTGGCGTTATTTTAAAAAGTACAATGTCGTAATGGTCAACGGCAAAAATATGTCAAAATAAAATGTGAAATATTCCAAAACTAGAAGAGATACTCCCATAGTTCACTATTGAACTCGAACAGTAAGTCATATATTGACATCTTTATGTTATTATTTTTTTATCATTATTATTATTATTATTACACTTGTTTACAAGCTGATTACCTTCACACTGTTGTTTTTTAATCCAATAAGTTCACGCTTAATTCTTTCTTCGCGGAAACATGGAAATTTGGTTACAATTACATGTATATTACTTGTGATATTGCTGTTCTTAAGCACCCTCTAGCGATGATTTACAAAATTTACAAACAATGTACTGTATGATGTGTTTATCAACCACAATAGGGTGACCTGGCAAGTACGTGGCATTGCATTCTAGCAGAGGAAATCATATATTAAAGTCCAATTGCAATATTCTTTAGGATGCAGACGTCTGCAAGAGGTGAGTTCAAGCACCACCTGAGTAAACGGAGGTGTTAAATTTATACTTGGATTTTTTTATGCCTATAGTACATAACAGGGACGAATCCAGTGATATTTTTTGACAGTCTTCCATACTATATTTGTTGACCCATCCTCCATTTTTTGACCGTCTTCCGACTGACAAAATAGATACCCATTAATGTAAACTTGAAAATCTGACCATCTTCCTGAAGACTCAGAAGACAGTCTAAATCCGACCCTGCATAGGGCGCTTTCAGTCGGATCAGTGCAATAGAACCTGGATTTTCACAATTTCTGAACTGCACCCACATCTGTTAAATGTCGCTTTACCTAGGTCACACATTGTTATGAGTGTTTTTAAAATGGGTGTTTTATATTGCATTGTTGAAGACATTTTGTCTAAGTACAAGTACCGTAGATGACATTTATAGTTGACTAAAACCTGGATGTACCTGCAAACACTTAAATGTACATCTGACACCTCGAAGCATTTCGACTAATGGGAGCTAAGTGGGGGTGGGGGGGAGGGGGTCCGGGTTCATTGCACGCGTCGCTGATGCTTAAACCCCCTTTACACTGGACGGCGTCCTTTCTGCGTCCATTCTGCGACCATGAAATTTGGCATCGCTCTGGTCTAAATAAGGAGGCACGAGCATTGATTCTGTATCAGAATGAATGCTCAATGATCGGCCAGTTGTCGGCATGTAAAGTATTATAATTTTTTAACTCTCAAATGGGGCCGTACTGCTGGACGCAGAAAGGACGCCGTCCAGTGTAAAGGGGGCTT